CCCCACCTTTCTCATGATGTGCTCTGAATATAAGTTAAATAGGCAGGGCGACAGTATACAGCCTTGCTGAACTCCTTTCTCAATTTTGAACCAATCATTGGTTCCGTGTCCAGTTCTGCCTGTTGCTTCTTGACCCGCATATACGTTTCTCAAGAGACAAATAAGATGGTCTGGTACTCCCATCTCTTTAAGAACTTGCCACAGTTTGTTGTGATCCACACAATCAAAGGCTTTAGCATAGTCAATGAAGCAGAAGTAGATGTTTTTCTGGAAATCTCTAGCTTTCTCCATGATCCAGCGTATGTTGGCAATTTGATCTCTAGTTCCTCTGCCTCTTCGAAATCCTGCCTGTACTTCTGGTAGTTCTTGGTCCACATACTGCTGGAGCCTAGCTTGTAGGATTTTGAGCATAACTTTGCTAGCATGTGAAATGAGTGCAATGGTGTGGTAGTTTGAACATTCTCTGGCATTGCCCTTCCTTGGGATCAGAATGTAAACTGACCTTTTCCAATCCTGTGGCCACTGTTGAGTTTTCCAAATTTGTTGGCATATTGACTGTAGCACTTTTACTGCATCATCTTTTAGGATTTTGAATAACTCAGCTGGAATACTGTCACCTCCACTAGCTTTGTTGTTGCTCAGACTGCCTAAGGCCCATTTGACTTCACATTCCAGGATGTCTGGCTCGAGGTCAGTGACCGCCCCATCGTGGTTATCAGGGACGTGAAGCTCTTCCTTGTATAGTTCTTCTGTGTAATCGTGCCACCCCTTTTTAATCTCTTCTGCCTCTGTTAGGTCCCTGCCATTTTGGTCCTTTATCATGCCCATCTTTGCATGAAACATTCCCTTCATATCTCCAATTTTCTTGAAGAGATCTCTGGTTCTCCCTATACTATTGTTTTCTTTTATTTCTTTGCACTGTTCATTTAAGAAGGCATTCCTATCTCTTCTAGCTATTCTCTGGAATTCTGCATTCAATTGGGTCTATCTTTCTCTTTCTCCTTTGCATTTCACTACTCCATTTCTTCTGAGGGATTCTTGCCCACAGTAGTATATCTGATGGTCATCTGAATTAAATTCACCCATTCCTGTCCATTTTAGTTCACTGATTCCTAAGATGTCGATGTTCAGTCTTGTCATCTCTTGTTTGACCACGTCCAGCTTACCTTGATTCACATATCTTACATTCCAGGTTCCTATGGAGTATAGATCTTTACAGCATTGGACTTTTTTTCACCACCAGATACATCCGCAACTGAGTGTCCCTTTGGCTTTGACCCAGTTGCTTCATCCTTTCTGGCACTACTAGTACTAGCCCTCTGCTTTTCCCCAGGAGCACATTGGACACCTTCCGAACTGAGGGGTTCATCTTCCGGCGTCATATCTTTTGGCCTTCTGGTACTTTTCGCCTTCATGGCAAGGATACTGGTGTGGCTTGCCATTTCCTTCTCCAGTGGATCACGTTTTGTCAGAGCTCTCTGCTATGACCTGTCCATCTTGGGTGGCCCTGCATGGCATAGCTCATAGCTTCATTGAGCTATGCAGACCCCTTCGCCAGGACAAAGCAGTGATTCATGAAGGGAGGATCTGATTTACCACAATGTTATTACAGCATTGCATTTTATTCTGCCTTTTTCCTCATGTGAAGTACTAAGGTGGCTTTTATAGGTCCATTTTATCCCCACAACCACTGTGTGAAGCAGGTTACGTTAAGAGTTAGTGACTGGCTCAATGTCCCTTTGTGAGCTTCATGGCCAAGTTGGGACTAGAACATGGCTCTCCCAGCTTCCCACTCCAATACTTTAACCACAACACCGCACTGTGTAAAAGTGTGAGCTTGCAAAAAGGCGGGTGGCTGAGGTGGGAGGACTGTGCTTTTCTAAAGGAAATAAGTTACTAAGTCCTCGGGCCTGCTGGGTCTCCCCTTCAAATGTTCCACCATTGCAGTAGAAAGCAAATGTGGAGTTGGGAGCTTGTTTACTTTGAAATTGCTAGTCCTACTTTGAGTAAGGCTGTATACTTATATAACAGCGACTCTTGCTTTTAGCAAAGAATTTACATGCTTCACCTCGAATTTGCAGATCACGAATGCTCCAAATTCTAGCAATCATGCTAAATTTAAAATTTCTGCTTGTAACAAACAATTCATGTACAGAAAAAGGAAAAGCTAAGTATCAATGCAGGGTGGGAGGAGCTTCCAGGTGCACCAAAGTGTTTTAATTGAGCCCAGTATGTTTCAAATAAATCCTTGGGTCTGTAAATGAAACATATAAAGCTATACCATATACCAGTTACATGAAATATACTGAAATCTAGCAAACGAAGACAATTACTTTTATAAACACCAATTTAAAGGGTCATGGTAAGGGTTAATGAATTCAACTATGTGAAGCACTGTGCACACTGACAAGAGCACCATTGAAAGAACAAGCATTTTTCAACTGCCATGTTTGGTTTCTGAGTGGTCAACAAGTTCATCAGATCTCAACCTAGCAATAAATTCCTATTTGCTTCTTTTGCTTTCCATGTGTGGCAGCTCATAATCCTATCCTCTACACCTGGGGGCAGGGCAAGGGTGCTTCCAAAATAGGCCTTTATGGTACCTTCACCTTACAGGGATTTGCTTGAAACTTGCCTGTGGTTACTTGCTACTTCTATTTTGTTTCACTGTAGAGAACATATTAAGAAAAAAGATAGAATTGTTGTACAATGTCTTTTCCTTGGTAGCACCCACTGGAAGCACTCTGGGTGAAAAGCCTGTGGCCACAGACCTTGACAGGCCACTTTGGTTGCTGGGAGTTGAGGTGAGGGCCCAGCACCCCTCACTCCTCTCTCTGAGCAGTTCTTAAGTAAAAATAGTTGTTGACCAAAATGAAAATATGCCTCACTCACACACGGGTCTGTCATGAGGGAAGTAAAGTAGTTATCTCAGTTAGAAGATTTTAGATACTATAGGTAAAAAAGTGGGAGATATGCTATGAAGCCAGTCCATCAAGAAGTTTTATTCTGGAAAAGACCCATTAGTAAAGGTCTTGTTTCATTTAAATAGGGCTCATACAAAACTGCCTGGGGATTGGACCCTGAACTAACTAGTGACTGAGGAAAGCTATATTTAATTATATTAACAAGTTGAGTTTATGCACATTTCAGATTGTAGTCAGTTGCAGTTCTTTAAAAATTACAGGAGGTATTTGTGATTTATTTCTGGTTTTGTCATAAAAGTGGTATTTTATAAGACTTTGACTAAGGGAGAGGAAAAGAAGCAAAACTGTTTTGGGGCACCTGTGCAATGTTACACGGACTTTTAGACCAGGGGCAGCTGCACCTCAGCCTGGGCAAGGAATATGATGAATGAATCTTTAACCCACATGTCTGTTTCTGTACAGCACCCATGGTGGATGTCTATAGCTCATCCAAAGGTGAATCTGCTCAGAAGAAAGAAGGCTCCACAAGTCAGGCTGTCAGCTCTGTGAGTGACCATATGCTTCTGTCTCTGACTTTCTTCTGGGTAGGTGGTTGTCTTGGGTTCTAAATGTCTCTGCCCAAGTTCTGAATGATATCTGCTAGCTGTTTGTGGCTATTGGTACAAGAGGCAGCCCCTGCTATTGCTTTAGAGGAGGAAGCTTTGGGTGACATGACACTGCTTCCAGAATGACTAGCTACAATGGGTTGCTCGGTCATCCAAATTTAGTCTGCTTCCCACAGTGTCCCTTATTTTCAGGAACAAACCATGTTCCATGTTGTCACCCATGGCTTGTTGTAGGGTTTTTGCATCACAAGGGGTTGTCCAAACCTGAGACAGCAAATTCACTGTTGGTTGTATGGGATTGGCTAACAAGCTGTTTGGCAAGAGTGGCAAACCTTCTACTGCTCATCACAGTGTTGCTGCTGCTGCTGCTGCTGCTGCCAGTGACTGTCCCTCCACTGATGTTCAAGTAGCATTTTGGAGCAACCATCACTGGTTCACCATTTTTACAAAAATGTGGTCCCAAAAAATTGCATAACAGTGTCCTTAACTACTACTACTACTACTCCTCCATCACCACCTCCTCCTCCTCCTCTTCATCATCATCATCATCATCATCATCATCATCATCATTTTTCTTGGTCCTTTGTAAGCACACAAATAGGATCTTTACAGCTGCTTGATATGTGTAGTCTTGCCTGTCAATTTGCTTGCCTGTTTCAGCTATTAAAGGGACCTACTGAAGTGGAGTAGGTAACAGGCGGGGAAAATGAAAAGGCAATATTGCATTTAGGCTACTTTGTGCATAGTGGCCAGTGATCAGTTGCCAAGTCATCAACTGAAAAATAATCATAAAGGGGGGAGGGGGGAAAAACCCAATCAAGGTGCACTGAAAGGTGAAGGAATGCTAGCACCCCCTTAGCAAAGTGCTTCTTTGGCTTTATGTGTGGAACTGATAGTTCTCATTGCCCTTTCAATAGTCCCTTGAGTCTGCAGTACTGCAGGAAGCTGAGATACTAATGCCCCTTTTATAGACCCAAGCCCTTTCAAGGGATTTTTGCCCATGTTCTTGTCTCACAGGGCCAGCAGTGCATACACATGCCTTTCTCTCCCTTTTCAAGGGACCCTTTGGGTAGCAGCAGTAGCTGAGATACTCCAAAAGACAGCAAAGGCAGCCAGGCAACAGAAAAGCAGCAGAAGGGCCACCCACTGCTGCTGCTTCAGTGAAGAACTGAGAGGCTTTGGGATACCTTCTGCAGTTCCTCATGTAGATATAGCTAATGCTGAGACAGGAGCGAGGCATCAGCACCTAATCCTCTGGTGGGGAGAAGTAGGCAGTGGAGGTGGAATATGATGAACACTGCTTAAAGCAATAATGCCATTATGTGCTGTGATATCAGCTCTGCTTAGCTTGGATCAGGGAGTCTGCAAACACTGGTGGTGAACATAGTGAGTGACAGAGCTGCTACTCCTTCTAGTGAACACTGGAAGGAGAGTTCACCAGGGCAACTGTCATTTCTCACTCAGCACCCCAGTCTTCTCTCCATCCCCAAGGGATTGCAAGTCCATGATTAACACTAGCCATATATATTACCTAATTTATTTTGAATGGCATTGTTCAATTTATGTATAGGGCAAAGGTTCAGCACCGTGCATTCTGAGATAGCATTGCAGCACAGCAGCATCAGCCATGGAAGAATGCATTCTGGGGTAGCTTAAGACCAGGATGATCCAGCGTGTTATGTGATCAGTAATGGGCACCCAGCATTAACCATGGCATTTGGGGATAGCTGGAATTACTTTCTCTTTCTCTGACTCTCTTTTTCCCCATCCAATCCCTATGGTAGGTGCAGACCAGTCGTGGCCGCAGCATCTCTGTTGCTTCTACCAGTTCCCAGTCAGGTCACCGGAGCCAGAAGGATGCCTTGCGCCACCGAGTATTCCACTTGTCAGAGCTGCTGCGGGTGGAGAAGGCCAATCGAGATGACAATATCTCATGCTATATGGAGCTGGTGAGCAAGGCTGACCGAGAGAAGGCACCTTCCATCCGCCAGGCTTTTGAGCGTATCAACCAGCGCTCCTCAGCTAATATTGCCTATCTGGAACAGCGTCTACAGGATTCTTTGACCCAGCTGAAGAAGTTAGAGCAGAAGGTTTCAACAGCCCAGGATAGCAGTGTTCCTTCCACCTCTGCAGTGCAGCAATCATTCACTCCCAGGAACAGCTTATCCCTGCAGGCACCCCTTCATATGCCCAGGATCCGCACTGCAGAAACTGTTGCTGTGGAAGATGCCCGCCTCCCTACTGTCCTAGAGAGCAAAGAGAATTTCTTTGTACCACAGGTAGTCCCAAAGCAATTCCTAGGGGAGGAAGGCAAGCAGAGGCTTCAGGAGTTGAATAGCCAGCTGATAGAACTAAAAGAAGTTCACAAGATCCTGGAAGATGAGTGGCACAAGCTGGATGAGACATGGAAAGCTGACAAGCAGCAGATGATGGAGCTCCTGCAGGAGGAAAAGAGGAGGTGGGCACCTGCAATCTTGAGTGCAGTTGGCCCTGGTGCCCTGTCTCCTTGACCCTCCTACACTCTGGTTTGGTGCTTCTTGGTATCATATCCTCTCCCCCTGCCCAGTCTTCCAGTTTCAGAGACTGTGCCCTTAGATCGGATCTTCAGCATCCTCTCTTCAATGGTAGGATCTGGTACTCCTGTTATTGGGCATAAGGGTTCTGTTGTACTGCATGACACTGTCTGCACTCATGCAAAGAGACAGAACCACAGAAACATGTTTGCTTTCCTTTGTACTGCTGATCTGAAACCATGGTAGAGGCTATAGCTTGCCTGTTCTTCTGATCTTCTTCCTGCTGTTCATGCTATATTTACATTATATGAGAATCTGCATACCACTTCACTTTAGCCATCCTGTCCTAAACCATGAGGGAATTCCGAAGACTTCAGCACAAAGGAAAGTGAAAGCCTTCCTCTGTACTGGGGTGGGCAACTTGTGGCCTTCTAGATGTTTTGGCTTCAACATTGCCCTATGTTGGCCAGAGCTGATGGGAGTTGTAGGCCAAAACATACGGAGGACAGAAGTTCCCCTGCTTTAGACAGAGTGTGGAGAGAAAATGGTTTTAGAGCAGTGGGCCATGTAGCAAGCACCTTTACTACAAAATACCAATGCATCAATTTTTTTCCAGGGCCAATCTCTGAAAAAAAAATGGGCCTACAAGTCTGGAGCAAAGGTACAACACAGATTGCTACCTGGGCTGTCAGTTGGCTATTTTCTTCTTCAGAGCAAATTTGGGCTTTTAAAAAATCCTTACTAAAATATGGCAAATTAACAGATAACTGTTCACGCAGTCCTTTAAAAACAAAAACAAAAAAAATGCAAACCTGACTAAAGTATGACATAAGGGTACAACTGATAGCTCACTACCTTTTGTTTTGCTAGTAAGAGCATTTGTCATTTCATTTATGAAGCCAGAGGAAAGCCAGGTTGCACTGCCACTGAAGAATTTGCTTTGAGTCCATTTTCATACTACATTCATTTTCATCTATAGACAATGCCAGTAGAAGAGTGAGGAAAATGTGGCTGAGAAGTACTGTAAAATGTATTTTGTAGTTAGTATTTAATTCATCACAGCAAGTGTCACAACTGTGGAGGCCAATGAATTGGTAACATGCCTTTCTAGTGCTTGATCCTCATGAACAGAAATATTACTCCTGGCTTATTCCTTAGGTTTCCCCCATGGTGTCCTTGATGTCCCACTATCCCGCCACAAGCACAGGTGCTGTTGAGTCCTCATGGCCTTCTAGTTTCCCTTTTGTCAGGACCAGCCTAATCCACTTCTTTTCACTGCAAGTGTCAAATGAGGAAGCAGAGCCAGCTCAGTCATAATCCTTTTACCACAGTGCCTTAAGCTCAGGCTGTAACAAGATCAACCAGTTGGCTTGAGTGGTGGGGTGAAAGAAAGGGGAAAACAGTGTTGGACAACCATGCTGTAGAGCAGGGATGCAAAATCTGTTCAGCTCCAAGGGTCACATGTCATGCTACTATGCAGGCTGCATGTTGTGCACACATACACACACTCATATACATGTGCATGCACACATCCTAGTGGTTCTGAAACAGGTTTCTCTTTTATCTCTGCAAGCAGCAGCAGGGGAAAGTGTTCTGAGAGTCTCTGGGGGAGGGAGTAGATCATACAGGTGTGTGGGGGGTGCAGTGTCAATGGCAATGGGGAGGTCAATTTTTGAAGGCTGCAGGTTATGCACCCCATCTGTAGAGCATTGCCATCACTCAGCCCACTTTGACTATGCCGCCTTTCTTCAGGCACTATCAACTGGAGGTACAAGTGAATGATGTGATACAGATAAACCTCAATGAGATTACCAACCTCAAGCATGACCTGGCCTGTACAGAGGAGAAGATGGTCTACCAGTCTTATGAGAGGTCCCGGGACATCTGGGTAAGGAAGCCCCTGTCTAGGTGCTGAGGCTATGTGCATGATGCCATTCAGAGGAATAGAGACTAGGACAGCAGAGTGAGTTGCTGGTCACATCAGTATATAGGGATGAAGCCAAGCAGGAATCTGGAATAGCACATTAAGACAGGCTGCAACAGCCTGCCTTGGTGTGTTTCTGGGCTAAGGTGGTGAAGTCTGCATTGATGGTATTAAGGCAGGATGCCAGAAAGCTCAGAAGAGTCATGTATCCTTTAGAATGATGCATGAAAGTGTGAGTGTGGGGAGTGGCTTTTTTCCTTTTTGCAGTGTGATAGTCAGGAGTGTTGAGTAAGTGCCTGGTGTAGGAACTGAAAAGTACATTATCAAAACTGTACTTTTGAAATCCTGGGAGTTCCCCTGGGTATGTTGATATGCTGATACTTCCCTCCCTTGTGTGGATGGTACAATCTTGGCTACTAAAGAGTTGTTTGCATATAATACAATGGAAACATTAAAGAAGGAGTTCTCTACACAAGGCATTTATTGTTGTGCTGATGATTCCTTGCTCATGGAAATTTGCAAGGTCTTTTCACAAAGGCTTCCAGGGCCTCTCATGAGTTTTTCAGCCTTTTTTGTAGTTTTTCTTAGAATGTGGAAAATATGGTGTTAAATTTTGAATCATGACAAACAGAAAAGCCTCATGGAAAGATGAAAGTCTGCAATGCACTCCTTTGTGTTCGGTTGGAAGGCCAAAAAACAAACCCCAGGAAAAAGCCCCAGGTAGAGGATGTATTTTTCCTCTGCAGTAAGGACAGAAGAAGAAGCCTCTGTACAGCGATGGATTAAACTTCTCATGTAGAGAAGCTTCTAACTCAGCTGTAAAGTGATGCCTGCAAATGCCTGTTAAAAAGCAAGGGTGTACACAGTATTAGCTGAGGAGGTGGCCACCCATTGTGGGGACTGAAGGTCTGGAAACTAGGCTGGTCCTAACCTCCTGTCTCCTTGTTGTCTATTCGGCAGGAGGTGCTGGAATCCTACCAGACTCGACTCGCCAAACTAGAAACACAGCAGCAGGCCCAGCAACAGGAGGTAATGGAGCTGCCCCAGGTCAGTGTGTACAAACTGTATGGGCAGCTCATTAATCTTCTGCTGACCATTGCTGCTATCCTCTTGGTGTGTGTCTCCACCATTTCTGCATGTGCCCTTCCTCTTGTTCGCACTCCCTGGCGTGCCACTGCCACTCTCTTTGTGATCGCTTCTGTAATTGCTGTCTGGAAGAACATCCCTGAAATTACCCAGCTGGAATGGACAACTTGGATACCATTAAACTGGTAACCAGAGGCTAAAATAGTGCACACTGTCTACTATCCCTCCCAATGCTTTCCAATATTACCCATTGCTAAAGCTTATTTATTTCATTGCTTGATTGTTTGTTTATTAATTAAAAATTAAGAACTCGCCCTCTCTGATTTGCCCTGTGCCTTTTTCTTCCTATGGTTAGACCAAGGTACACATAATAGGGCATTGCATGTGAGAAATCCTACTGTGACTTACATGGGCACTTCCAGATGAGGCATCTATTGTGCTGTCACACTGCCTCATTTATGGATTATTACAGGGGCTTCAGATATTGTCAGCTTCCACTGTTAAATCCTCCCATGTTTTCCCACTGTTTCTTCTATCCTTTTTCTTACCATGCAAACTCCGATCAGGAGAAAAAGGAAGACTAGCTTTTGCTTGGTAATGTTAGGAACTGTCCCTTTCAAAGAGTTCTGGCACTCAGGGTGAACCTAAAAAGACTGCAAGGAAGTTCAGCAGAGGAAAAGAAAGAACACGTACACACCCATTTTGAATTGGCTGGGCAAGAAAGAAAATAAATGGCATTTGACAAGCTTAAGCTTCTTCAGCTTAAGCATGGGTGCTTCCAGATGAGACAGTTATGGAAATGTAATAAAAATTATTATGCCCTTGCTCTGCTTCATTTATGGAATTTTGACGGCAGGTCTAGACAAATATCATCTTGAACTTGAAACCCTCCTCTGTTTTCCTATGTTTGCTATTTTTTTTACGATAAATCTGCTAAGGAATGAAAGATAGAATAGTGTACAGTGTCTTTTCATCAATGGACACCCTTCATTTGTAGCATTCCACGTAGTTGGCTATGCAGTTTGAAAATCAGATAAAAGCCTAGCTCAAGACGTTTTGGTATCCAAGGTAGAAACTCCAAATAGCATCTTCCTACTTCAGAAGTATGCAATCTTTTGGATCTCATTGGCACATCTGGCAATTTGAGAAACTGTTCTGAGGAGCACCAGAAAGTGGTTGATGTGGGAGGCATGGGACAAAATACAAAAATCTGTCCAAAAGACTGAGTACAAAGCAGAGGTTTAGTGTATTGAGGCTCAAACTCCTTTGAACCCAGAATTTTCAGTGCCAACATAAATCTATTTTATTTAAGACATTTTTTTCTCTCTCCACCTTTCTTCTGTTCAGTTTATTCCCCTCATCTCTGTCATTCTGGATCGCCATCCATATACACTCTTTGCACATGTACCATGTGTCCATCAAGCATTATTATTGTTATGTGCCCTCAAGTCTTGTCTGATTTATGGTGACCCTATGAATGAAAACCCTTCAAAATGTCATATCCATGATATACACATATATCATGTATGCCTGCATACATCATGCATACATATATGTATATCCCTCTCTCCCTATCACTGTAAGCACATGGAAATATCATTCTTTCTCAGGATCCTGCCAAAATTGCCCCTAAACCCTTTATCCTTTGCTGTGTCACAAACTCTCAACAACCCTCCTTTCAAACTGTACCCCCAGGTAGCGTCCAGCTTGCTCCCTTAGCCCTTTCTGGCTTCCTGCTACCATTCCTGTCCTCCCCTAATTGGCCATGATTACTGCTTCCCTTGCTAGACCTTCCACTGTTTACCTAGCCTGCTGCAGTTCTCTTTAGCACCCCTGCCCTCAGTTTACCCAAAGAAAGCCCCCCCCCCCGCTTCCCTTGGTGGGTAAGTATGCCACAGAGAAGAGCGTTGTACTGCAGCTTTCTATTTTCATTTCCTAATAACCTGTGACCCAGAGGCATTCATAACAATGAATATGGCAGTGGCTGGAGGCTCTCACTTGGTTTTAAAGCAATCTCAGCTGTGGACTAGAAAATTTGTTGTTGCTTTTAAGTGGGAGGGATAGGGCACATAGGTAGACATCAAGAAAGGGTCTTGGGTATACGGATGTCCACAGGATCCTATCTCCTGTCCTGAGCACATCCTTATTAACAAGGGGCACAATGCACAACTGTGGGTTTCTCATATAGCTCCTACTTCTTTGCATGGTAGGGCTTACACAGTAGTACTAACCAATGGATTATGCCTCATGGGTCACTTTTATTTCTCTCTCATGTTTCTGTTCTTAATGGTGCCCCACACCTTTCCATCTAAAGTAGCCACTTCACTTTACCTCATAGCCACGGGTATGCATTTACAAGTAATGAAAACTGCATTGCTTGGGCACTTGCTCCGCTTCACCCAGTTCACAGCCATAACTCTGATACCTGTTGCACCCCCTCATACATGGATACATAGCAAACGCTGCTGGGCAAAGGGTATTACTTTGCTGCATATCTTGTAATATAAGAACTGAGTTTTTATACATAAGTTAAAAATCTTTATTCTCTAGCTCACTCTAACTGTTCCAGAGTTTGGTGTTTTGTTTTTTTAAATAATTTCCCCCAATTGCATTTCTAGCTAGATGTCCCAGGGACAAAACAGGTTTTAGTATCAAACACTATGTACATAATGTTTCTGATTGAGCCACAATGGGGAGAAGCACAAAACCCCTAGGGTGTCCAAGGTAGCTTGTGCTGATTCTCGGTGGTTCTGCCCCATGTCAGAAATAGGTCTGCTCCTAGACCGAGCTAGAATTCAATACATGCAACCTTGCTGAGGCACAGACACCTCGGGGGACAAACTTTATTCATCCGGCCCCCTTCAAAGCACTCCCTGGCACCAGTGAAAACTCAGGGGCAGAGCAAAAGGGAATCAGAAGAAGGCCCTACTTGGCCAAACAGTGGGTTACCTCTCTCTAAGAACACATCCATTAATCCATCCCTCCACAGGATGGAGTGTGTTGAGGAGGATATGGACTCCCGGGCACCTGCAGTGCCAGAAAGACCTTGGAGAGACTTGCTTTACAAAAGCGATATGCTTTCCACAGGGACACCCCCCCATTGTTCTGCCCCCTCCTGGGAAACAGAGTGCCAAGTAGAAGACTAGTTAAGGATTGTAGCTGAGGAGACCTGATGCTCCAGGAAAATTGAAGAAAGATGGGATGTTTGAGCATGGTATCCACATCCTTCACCCCCATTTGAAAACAATTCTGAGAGGAAACACTTCCCTCCCCGAGCCACAGGAAAAATAGCAGCACCCTAGCTTGGGGCACAGTTTAAGTCCAAAGGAGAGGGTCTGAGAAGATGGCAAGCCAGTATTTCGTAAGCTCAAAGGAAAGTCATACGGCACAAGAGGAAGGGGAAGTTCTCAGTGGGGCTCTCCTGGGAGGCAGAGTCCTGTCTTGGTGTCCTTCCCAGCAGGGGGCTCTTATGCTGGTGATACAGAGGAGTTAGAGACAGACGAAACCTCAGTGCGGGAAGTGGAGGAGACTTCAGAGCCATCATCCACCTTCTTGCCAAAGAGCTGCAATATGCAATTCCGGAACTAACAAGAGAGAGAGAGACAGAGAGAGAGACAGAGAGAGACAGAGAGAGAGAGACTAATTATGAGATTTGTATTATCCTCTAACTTTAAACACTTCCATATTATCTTCTGTCCCTGCACCTCCCCATTTTAGAATAGAGAGTATTACCTGTCTGTTCATGAAGACATAGATAATTGGGTTGTAGATGGTGGCGCTCTTTGCAAAGTAGGCAGGCAGAGCAGCTGCAAGGGGGTGGAAGGCATAGCCTGGGTTGGCAGCAGCAAAACATGCAAAGATTGTGTATGGTCCCCAGCAGAAGCAATAGGCAATGATCATGACCACTACCATCCTGGACACTTCCCTCTCAGCTTTCTGTGTAGATTCGGACTCTTTCTGCTGGGCAGCAACCTATGCAAGGGGAAGGAATGAAGCAGGGTTACTGTGAGTTGCAGTGTGGCCAAGCATTTCCCAGGACGGATTCCACTAACAGAATGGGGGCTGGAGGAAATTAACTATTCCTGGGGGACATGGATGGTGGGGGGAATGAGGAACTCCAACGATATGGCAGCTTGAATTTGGGAAGGCTTACACTTAGAAGAAAGAGGAAATTCAGCAATTGGAACAGGATTATCAATTAAGGTTCCTCTGTGAAGGTGGATTTTGAGGGGAGAATGGAGGGAGAGTCGTAGTGTCATGGGGCTGCTTACCGCACGGATAGCCAGCCACACTTGCAGGTAGCAGAGGATGATGACAGACAAAGGGATAAAGCAACAGGTGATCATGAGGACAACCATGTAAGACTGAACCCCAGGGTCGTCACTGCCACTGAACACGTCTGGACCACATGAGGTCTTCAGACCATGAGGCCAGTACCTACGGGATGGTGAGAAAGGAAGGTAATTTTCTGTACATGCAATTGAAAGCACCTCTGCATCTGTGCTTGTGCTGTTGGTGTTAACAACTGATCCTTGTTCAAGCCAAAGAGAAAAGTGGAATGAAAGTATTGATGATGTGAATGCATGTTCTGGCCAAGGTAGATTTGACAGTATAAGTGTCACACTCAAATGCCCAGCATCTGGCACCCAGCTTGAACTGAATGTCCTTACACTGGTTTCTAGTTCAGCTACCATGACCTCATAAAAGTAATCCCCCTACCCCTAGGCTAATGCCTAGTGTCCCATGGACTGACTGAAAGAGACAAATGCCAGACATATCTAATTTTGTACTGTGAAGAGCTCTGTGAGGGAATAATCCTGACCCATTCCTCTTCTCTTAATGGTTCTCAGTGGATACACCACATATTGAAAAGAGGTTCTCTGTTAGTTTGTCCAAGCTTCGGGAACTTATCCTGCTAATACAGAACCACTGAAATAGACATAGGGCAACCTTTCCCACTGCGACACCCTCCAGATGTTTTCGATTACAACTCCCATCCTTCTCAACTATTGAAGCTGATGGGAATGTCGCCCAAAACCTCTGAAAGCCACCAGGATGGGGAAGGCTGGAGCAGAGCCTAACTTGATGTGAAATCTTCCCCTAGCTGCCTTCCACGCCTGTACGTCTACATGACCGTTGCATTTCCTGCGCCGATACTGCTTGCCCTCTTCCTCCTCCTACTCACCTGC